TATCCATCAAATCCTACTTTAGTCATAACATCCGAGAATATTTTTGGAAACTCGACACCAAAATACACCTCCCGGACTTAAAATTCCTTAAAAATGAAAATCTCCCATTTTTTCTTTTAAAATTCCAATCATATTTAACTCCAATCATATTTTAATTATTTCACTTTAAATTTCAATCTAAACAATTACCGAGTAGAACTCATTTTACAGCTAGAAATAGTAACTATATATATGAATGTGCATGCAGGAGAGAGTGGAGGGTGTCAACAACGTTCATATATGGTAGTAAGGATGACTTCAATGACAAAATTGCACTTGAAGCAAGCAAGATATTGAAGGTTGATTTTCAAATCATAAGGGTATCTGAGGTCAGATTCATAATCTATGTCAAAAGTTCTTCAAAAAAAAAGAATATTTTATCTAATCAAAAAATTGATGAGTATTACATCGGGAAATTAAAAGAAAAAAAATAATCCGAACTTATAAAACGTTCGGATTTTACAACAAAATAAAAGAAAAATAAAACTTGGAGTCTTCGGATGTTTGAACGAACGCAAGAAGACGAACGGACGGAGAGAGGAACGACGCCGGAGCAAAAGAAGGGTAAGGAAAGCGGAGTCGCCGGAGCTTTCCTTAAGGTAGTATTGCCCGCCTCCCGCACTGGCAAACGTGGGCAATCTCCTCCCAGGATAAAACCGCTTCGTGCAAGGCCTAGAACGGTAGAACCGTGCACCGACGAACGAGAATGATGGAGGTTACCGCCGGAGAAGGGATGTTGCCGGAAATTTATAACGCTGAGATAGAGAGATTTTCGAGTGTGCTCTCGGTGTCCAATCTCTGCGGCCAACCCCCCTTTTAAAGGAGAGGAAGTTGGCTCTTCGTAGGACCGTCGGACATTACGAAGAGTCGAGTGACTCTTCGTTCGTAATGCATGCATGCTTTAATCCTTTGGACGGCACTTCGTAATTTACGAAGTATCCACGCGTGATTAACTTGGTCTCGTAAAAAATTAGCCACGCCCCGCCGCAGACGCGGGCGCATGGAAGCGTCCCGCCCCGCCCCGACACGCGCGCGTGACGAGCCGGACGGACGGCGGCGGCGGCGGGCGCGCAAGGAGTTCTCTTCTTGTTCCTTTCATAAGCTCAATTCAACAATGCCTAAGCTTAAATATGAGAATATGAAAGGTTTAGAAACCGGTGTGGGACAAAGACATTTACTCTACCTTAGTATTCAACTTTGAGAATTAATTTCTCATTTACTCGAGCACCGTTTATGGCGTGTAATATGTCAAGACGTTCGTCTTACTTACGAGATTAATCGTCCATAATTATTTTGGAAAAATAATTTGTGGACCCAACCGAATTTATGTCCGAAAATGTCCAATTTACTTTAAAATTTCCAACAAAAATCGATAAGAATATACAAATAAACAAAAGTTTATGTTATTTTTGAATAATAAACTGTATCCTATCATTCTTTTTGGAACGAAAGGAGTACCTTTTATTTGTGCAATGGAAGAAGATCTGATATTTTCGGGGTTACTTGTAGAATTTTTTTTTAAGATGCCAACTTTGAAAGCGTTACCTAATGACTTCATTATCGATGAACATAATTTTTTTTCTTGAAGTAACACAACAAACAATTTGATAGAATTTAGGATTGGGTATGAACAACTGGATTGGGCAATAAGATACTTTGGTCGAACCACATTAAAAGATTGAATCCAATCGATTAGTTAGTTCAACTATTGAGCTTATATACCGATTATTTTACTCTTGGATTTCCGATGTGGGATGTACTCTAACACTCCCCCTCAAGTGGACAACCGGGCCATTTTGAATCTAACCGGTTGACCACTTGCAAATGGACTCCCATTCCCTTGACTTTTTTTTATATGAGCGCCAACACCTAAAGGACCACGAGCTGCTGGGTATGGACTTCTAGACGAGCAATCGTGTTAAACAGGCCACAGGTCGTTGGGTACAACCTCCATACAGACAACTGGGCTAAAGACAAACGGGCCGCTAGGAATGAACGTCTAGACGGACACCTTGACAAACGAGGTGGGATAAAACTGGCTCTGATACCATGATAGAATTTAGGATTGGGTATGGACAACTGGATTGAGCAATAAGACACTTAGGTCGAACCACATTAAAAGATTGAATCCAATCGATTAGTTATTTCAACTCTTGAGCTTATATACCGATTATTTTACTCTTGGATTTCCGATGTGGGATGTACTCTAACACAATTTAATAACAACTCATCTCTCAAACGGTTGCATAAATCAATTTTGACAATATTATTAATTTTAGAAAAACTTCGGTCAACCGAAGTTGTCCTAACAAAAAATAACAATGCCAACTCTATATAAATCGATATATATATATATATATATATATATATATATATATATATATACACCAAAGAATTGAGATTATATATATAAATATATAATCGGTGTGATAATTGAGATTATATATATATACCAAAGAATTGAGATTATATATATAAATATATACCAAAGATTATATATATATATATATATATATATATATACCAAAGAAAAATCGGTGTGATAATTATCTCTACCATCTTTATTGCAAGAGTTCCAAAATTGAAGATATTAGAAAATACTTCGTACTTCATTGGATCTCATGTTAGAAATATAATTATAGAGTTCATGAATAATCTCAATTCGATCGCTAGAACTGAAATCTTCTTAATAGATTACACTTGCCATAATATAAGGACTCTTAAAATCAAATTTGGAAATATCTTTTTTGTATGGATGAAGTATATAATTATATATATACATGATTAAAGTGAATAAGTAAAAGAAAAGGAGAGGTGAAATTTATTTAAAAGCGAGAAATATTTTATTTTAGTGCTTGATATTGGGATGACAATAATATATTTTTTTGTTGGAAATTTTTTTAAAAAATGCAGGGTGGCCATTTAGTGCTGATGGAGAATGCAGAAGCATTCCATGCTGCTGTAGTTTATGCTTGTCGCAGTATTCTTAACCTGGGCCAAGATTATTCACTCCCACCAGGACTACATTTGGTTACTCCTAAAAAATAATAATTATGTAACTTTAATAATTACGTAGTTGTTTTCTTGTTAAATTAAACTACTACACGTATTATTTGTTGTTGGGAAATTGGGTATTTTTTTTCCCACCAAAACAATATAACTAATGAGATGAATCGGTTCAGAACAAGTGAATGTCATCACAATGTGAATGAGGTTACAGTGTTACACGATGATGATATTGATGATGATGATGATAATAATAATGATGATGAGACAGAAGAAGTATTAATTATGACACTAAGCTATTTGTTTATTATCATTATAGGATAGCAAGTTCTATTATTGAGTTGATTCCTACGATCCTACTTATGCTATGATTGTTTTTTATATACTTCATTCCTCCCTAATTTAATTACAATATTCTCCCTCATTTTTGTCCTAATTGCAAAGTTCCAATTTTAACACCATTTGGACCATTTTACCCTCCCTTCCATCACCTTATGTAATGATTTGACTCATCCTTAATTGAGATGATTTGGAGAAAAATTTAATGATTTGACTTCTCTTTAATTTTCTCAAAAATGAAATATTGTAATCTAAAAGGAGACGAAATATCTATGTATGTATGTATGTATGTATGTATGTATGTATGTATATGATCCAGTTCACGTGGGGATGCACCTTGGTGAAAGAAATGAGAATAAAATCTAGCTTTTGGATTTGATGTATCGTGCGGCTCAGAATGCGTCCTGCACTCAGATTTTGAGATAGTGCATTTTCAAAAGAATTTTGGTGCATTTCGACATGACGCATTTTCAAACTATTTTAGCGCACATAATATTGATGCAATCCTGACCTTTAAATCTCACAATCTAAAATACTCCCTTCGTCCTAAATTTTTCTTCCAGAGCACTATTCCAACTTCACGAGAATTTATATTTATTTGTGTTTTTTTCATGGCCTATATGATAAAATAAAATATTCTTGTCACCACTTGTTTTGTTGAACTTTTGATGTAGTTTTTAAATATGTATGTTTTATTTTTTATTTCTATACCAGTATTTAAATAAAATAGATTAAAAAAACATGAGATTTTTCTTCGTTTTGCGCAACGGGAAGAAAGTTTTAGGACGGAGGGAGTATTAGATTCATTCTTATTTCTTTCATAAGATCGCATTCTCACCAGAATATATGTGTGTGTGTGTGTGTGTATGTATGTATATATTCTCTTTTGTATCCTTCATTATTACTACCTTCATTCTTGAATATTTGTCTAATTTTAATTTTTTTGCTTAACCGTTTTCAAACTTTTAATTAAATAAAATATATATTATATATTAATTAGATAAAAAATATTTTGAAAATATTTCATATAAAAATATTTGTGTATCGATATCTTATATATATATATATATATATATATATATATATATATATATATATATATATATATATATATCATTTTGTAATTTCTATGTTGTTAAAGAAAGCTATAAAAATAGAATTAAGCTAGGGGTACACCAACATGGGGTACCCCAAGTGTACACCAAAGCCAACACAGACACACACAGACACAAAATATCTGTGTTGCATAGACATTTTGTGTCTGTGTGTGTCTGTGTTGGCTTGGGATACCCCATGTTAGTGTACTCCTAGCATTGCCCATAAAAATAACATGACTAAAAGAACAATATTTTTTAAAACAAAAGAAGAAGAAATAAAATATGACTTTCATAGTTTTTCACCAAAATAGAGGCTATATTAATTATTTAAACCTTAATAAAATTTAACTACAAATTTGAAAACAAAAAATTACAGTTCCTAAAATTATTTACGGAGTGGAAACATTCTTTTATGATCAACTATCTTAATAAATAAGTAAAAATAAATAACTCAATAAGTTATTGAAATCCACCAATACAAACGTTTAGTCTCTTAGTGAGCATCGAAGATACGAGTTCGAACATTGGAAGATATTAGACTATTTTATTGAGAAAAAAGAGAAAAGTTGGATAAACAAAGCCGGCGGTGGGCGGATTATTCTTCGTACCGGCCGGCGGCCATAAAATCAACGCTGACGTTAGCGACGACGCCGATTGCGTCAACAAGACGAAAAGAATACTGTAATTAAACGAAAAAGGAAGAGACGAAGATGCCGCGAAGACGGTAGGATCGTCGCGTGAATACGTGATTATCGCGCACCGTTATACGGATTCGGAGTATATAGGTAGCCGGGGACGGCGGAGAGATGAGCTGCCGATTTATTTATTTGCCAGTCGTAATTGCTTCGGAGTAATTTTTTATAACATAAAGGAAGAATTGATTCGATTCTTCGTTTTGAACGAATCCCTTTCTTTGAATTGAGGTTAATTGAATGAGCATAGGGCTGAGGAGGTGGTCGAAATCGGCGGTTAACATGGCGGAAGAGATTAATTCATCGTCTGCTCCTGCCGCCGCCGGATCAGGAACAAAGAGGAGATGGCTATGGCCGTCCGTTCTCCGATGGATCCCTACTTCCACCGACCACATCATCTCCGCCGAGAAGCGCCTGCTTTCTCTAGTCAAGTAACTATCCCTAAAATCCCCCAAGTTTGAGATTTCCAGATTTTCCCTATAATTTAAACCATTTCCCGTTTCAACGCATCTATGGTTCTGATTTTGGGATCATTAATCCTGTCTTGATGATTTTTGGAAATGATGATATAACTGAAGAGCTTATGATTTGTGAAGTTGTGTTTGCTTGCTTTCCATTTTAGGCGTTTTCGGCTTTAACTGGTATCTTATCATTTTTGTGGGAATGGGGTTTTGATCAGGACTCCGTATAAACAAGAGCAAGTTAATATAGGTTCCGGTCCGCCGGGGTCTAAGATTAGATGGTTTAGGTCGACAAGCAGTGAACCAAGGTTCATAAATACAGTTACTTTTGACAGCAAAGAGGGATCTCCAACTCTTGTTATGGTTCATGGATATGGTGCTTCTCAAGGTTTCTTTTTTCGCAATTTTGACTCTCTTGCGAAACACTTCAGAGTCATTGCCATTGATCAGCTTGGGTGAGTGTAATCTTCGTCCCACATTTATGAATATTCACGATAATTAAAATGTGCTTTGTTGTGTCATTTTTATTTGAAAAGAGGATTGTTTTTCATTTCCATTAGTATGAGATTAATTAGTCCCAAACACGACATCAATCTCTGCTTGGTGCAGGTGGGGTGGATCTAGCAGGCCTGACTTCACATGCAAAAGTACTGAAGGTTAGAGGCATTTTTTATATTGGATTTCACTTACTTTTTGGTGAAACAAGTTACTACGTAATTTTGATTCTTTGTTTGTGAATCTTGAATGTATAAGTTTATTAAACTCGGGTATGATTTTTCTTTATTAAACTCAATTATTCTGTAACTCTTTCTATAATTACTTTGGTGATTTTTACATCTCTTCCGTTTGCATTGTTACTTGCAATACAGAAACTGAAGCATGGTTCATTGATTCTTTTGAGGAGTGGCGCAAAGCCAAAAACCTTTCCAATTTTATTTTACTTGGTCATTCATTTGGAGGTTATGTTGCTGCAAAATATGCACTCAAGGTATTGTTTTTTAACTTTATTTAACAGCTAATTATTGACTCATTATCATTGCTTCTTTGTACAAAAATAAAAATAACCAACACACGAAAATCCCACGAGTGGGGTCTGGGAGAGTGGTTGTTCATAGACCTTACCCTATCTAGAAAAGGAAGTGAGGCTGTTTTCAAAAGACTCCTGACTCAAGCACACAACAACAATCAGTTTTTTTTGTTGTATCGATGTTAATTCTATCAATATTGTAGCATCCTGAGCATGTTCAACACTTGATACTGGTTGGATCTGCTGGGTTCACATCTGAAACAGAACACAAATCGGAGTGGCTTACGAGGTTCAGAGCAACATGGAAAGGAGCTTTTGTGAATCATCTGTGGGAGTCCAATTTTACCCCTCAGAAGATTGTTAGGTATCTGCTGTTCATAATACATTTATCTACTTGTTATTCGTATCTGTGGAGTATTATTTTTTCAATTGACCTTCTCAACCAATGCAGCAAACGCACATGGCAGTTTTTTACTCTTTACTCTGTATTTTGGAGTTCCACAATCTTTCTTTCTTTTCTCATCAAACTCTTTGGTTTTGATCTCAATATGCTTTATAATGTTACTGGTGGGATTTATTCATGAAGAGGTTTAGGTCCATGGGGCCCAAATCTAGTTCGCAGATATACTGGTGCTAGGTTTGGTGCATATTCAAGTGGAGGTGGTTTAACTAATGAGGAGTCCAAGCTACTCACAGGTAGCTTTGAATGAGCCTACTATACGTTTGTTGCCCCTTTATAACATCATTTGAATCCTAATTACATGTTCATTTTTTAAAAAAATCTTTGGAAGATTATGTATACCATACTCTGGCAGCCAAAGCAAGTGGGGAGCTATGCTTAAAATATATATTCTCATTCGGAGCATTCGCTCGGAGTCCTCTTTTGCATAGGTAAGTTTTAGTTTGTTCCTTGAGTGAATGGAGCATCACATCATCTTTCATTATCCTATTATTCTTTGACACCTTCATAGACAAACAGGCTATTCTGTAAGTGGAAAGAATAAAGCATGAACGAAATTTAAATTTCACTTCAGAAGAAGGATTTTTAAGTAGTTTGGTTGGTTAAAACTTAGGATAAAATGAATTGGTATGATCAAGTAGAAAAGAATGAAGGAAAAAAATGCATTTGATGTAGGGCACCGGAGTGGAGAGTCCCCACAACGTTCATCTATGGCGTTGATGACTGGATGAATTACCAAGGAGCAGTGGAAGCTCGCAAGAACATGAAAGTTCCATGTGAAATCATAAGGGTTCCTCAGGTTAGTCCGAGTTTTATATATAGGGAGTGTTTCTCCGTAATGGTGCTTATTAGCTTATTACTTATAAGCAGTTTTTAACGTATAAGCTGCCTATAAGCCAAATATCTTTTCGTAGAAATAAAATGACATAAATGGTGGATAAGTCATTTGAAAATATTCATAAATGGTGACTTGGTGAGGGACAGTTTTGTAAATAAATTGGTCAAAACGAAGAAATGAAAAACTGGCTAAAAATAAGTAGGTAAGACCTTATTTTTTTAAATTTAAAAATAGCTTATAAGCACACATTAATATGACATCAAGTTAAGAACAACTTATAAGCAGTTTTGACCAGCTTATAAGCACAAATACACACCAACATAGTCATAGATACTCCCTCGGTCCCAAAATTAAGTTTACCATTATGTCCTTAATGGAAAAGTAAGAAAGCGGGAACTTAATTTCGGGACTTCCAAAGAAGTTCAAGTGTAAATTCCATTTGGGCTCAAAGGCGTAGTTTTTTTACAGCATCGGGTGAGCTTTTTTATGGCGCGTGTTTGTAATTGCAGGGTGGGCATTTCGTGTTTATAGAGAACGCATCCGGGTTCCATTCTGCTGTATATTATGCTTGTCGTAGATTTCTTTCACCAGACGGGGACAGCCATTCACTCCCAGAAGGCCTAATGTTTGCTTAGTTTTAAGGGATGTATGATTGATGCGTTTGTAATTTATGAGTAAACTATTCTCAACTCTCATGTATCAGAATGTAAGATATAGATATAGTGAGAAATAAAAGAGGAATTTACTTAAATAGCACTAAAACATAATGACTCTTTCTAAATAGTACCACATATGTTTTTCTTTCCAATGTAGTATTTTTAGTCATTATGCATTATTCATTATTTAAGCAAATATTTACCATCACTGGACATTATGGACATTATTAAGTGCTATTTAGAGAATAAAATAGTTTAAGTGCTACGGATTATTTAGAGAAATGACTTAAATTTTAGTGTTATTTAGTGCAAATATTTCGAAATAAAATGGGCACGCTGTTTTTTATATAAATATTTTTATTTTTTTAAACACGAAAAAGGTACGGAGTATAGAGATTGTATACGACATCGTTTTGGGATCTTTTATACTCTGTGCTTGTAATTTTTTAGTGGCGTCATCTGGTCGTGTTACATAAATGTATAAATATGTGCTTGCATCCTTGAATAAAGAGGGTTTTGCTAGGTGTGCTTTAAGCTCAAGGTCGTGTACTCCAAGTGTACATCATTTTCTCACAAGCCCCGCTTAAGATGGTGTACTCCAAGTGTACAGTACCTTTTTACAGACACACAAGACATCCACTCACGAATAATAGGTTTTGAAATACAAATAGTGGGTATTCGTGTGTATCTCTAAGAAGGTGGTGTATATTTAGAATATATCATATTGAATATTGAGGTACCTCTATGTTTTTTCTTAAATAAAAAAAGCATATCTAAGTATTTGTTCTTTTGTACTCCGTACTTTATACATAAGAAGAATATGCTCATGTGTCATTTTCTTTTAAATATTTTTATATTTGATTTATGAATGGATTATCGTGTAAACTTTGATATGATGCTATATTTATTTAATATAGAGGAAATACATAATAGGGATAATGATATAAATAAAACACTTGATTTTTGTTGTTGAAAAAAATAACTTTATTAATCCATAGCATTTGCCAACAAAATATCACAAATGAATGCCAGAGGGATAGACACTCACTCTAGTAGATCAGACATAAAATCAGATATTCTAACTAACAATTGAGCGATGTGATTAACTGACCATCTAACAACTGCTAATGCCAAAGATGAAAATTTTGTCATCAAACCCAATCGATATTTACTCAAATTGGTCCATTTTTGAAATAAAAGTATATTAATCATGAAAAAAATTTAAATCTATAGGATGATAATAAAATACTCAAAACTATAAATATAATTTTATAAATTTCAAAGTAATATTTTAGATTATTTATAATTATTTAAAAGAATATCATGTAAACAAAATATTTAATAAACATTAAAGAAAGACCCTAAATATGAGTGTAACAGTGTAACATAGAAAAAAGGCTCCTAATTTGATACTTTCTTTATGTTTTAAACATTTTATTTACATGCTATTTTCCTAAATAATTATAAATAATAAAAAAAATTTACATTTAAATTTATAAAATTATATTTACAGTTTTAAGCATTATATTTTCATCCTGTAGAATTTAAAATATTTTTCTATAACTAATATATTTTTATTTTAAAAATGGACCAAGTTGAGAAAACATCGAGTTAGAAAGTATCGTGTTGAGAAAGTAGTATAAAGTTTAACGTCGTTTTAACGGTCATTACTTGGGAGACTGAAGTGAACATTATTTTTAATTAACGAGCACCATCTTGAGAATTAAATAATGTTGAAGATTATTTTAGAAAAATATATAGTTATTGACTACAATTTTATGATTTTTCTAAATGCACAAAGTTATTAGAAATCACCCTAAATATGACTAAAACATAGAGAAAAGTACCAAAATAGGATTTTCATATATATATTTTTCGAAATAGGACTTTGTACTGTAATAATGTGACTTTGTCGTGTTGTAATGTGGTAGTGTACATGTGCAAAATACTATATTTTTTTGGTAATGTAAATGACCATGTATTGTAGTGTAAGTCCTATTTCGAAAATAAAAACATATATATTTTAGTAACTAAATGTCCCCCAAATTGCCAGCATACATTGTTTGAAAAAAATTGATTTATCCGTGACCAATATGGATGAACCCAAAATCCACCGTCTCCGGCTCTCCGGCGAACCACTACCTCCGCAGAGTAATCTGTCGCCGCCGTGAATGGTCTTCCATCTCTTGTAAGTTAAGGAGTATACATATTAAAGTCATTTATTTAAACCCTTGATTTTCCAGACTGTGGGTATATATGCAAATTACGCACCGAAGGCACCAAGCTAACAGAGCTCATAAACACCTTATTCATCATCATCTTCTTCTTCTTCAATTCTTTAATTTCTACTGTACTATGAGAACAAAACTGTAGCTTTCTACACATACCCTAAAAATGTGTTGCGAGGTTTCTTAGGTCGAAGGGCAAAGCTGAGTCCAAACATTTCCTTAGGGGCACTACTTGGTTCAATGAGCCCAACTAGTTTTGCAACAAGGGCAGCACTTTCCTGGACATGCTCCATATCTTTCGTGTCCTTCCATAGCAGCTCGCGCAGTTGTCGTCTTCTATGCCGTGTTTTCGCATCTATGCCCCATTTCTGGAACAGTGCCTCCCTCTCCCTTCTCCCGCACTTCTTTCGCATCTGCCTGCCCAGCATCTTCCTCTCCTGCTTCAATGCTTTGATGCTGTTGTTGACCATGGGTATTTTAGAGAAAAGAGTAAAAAGAACACTTCCATCATTCTTCTTAAGGAACCAACTTAATCCACAAGCTCAATCTTGTGGTTGGAGGCCCAAGAAATGTGGTTTATACTCTAACGTGATCCCTTACATGAAGACGTGAACGCGAGAGATGATTTTGATTTATTTTTTTAGTCGTGAGATTTGAGATAGTGATCTCTAGGTCAACATAAGATTGATTATTGATACCATATTAAGGAACCAATTCGACCACAAGTTCAAGCTTGAGGTTGAAGGCCCAGGAAACGCCGAAGAGTGTTTATGCTCATTTGGGAATTTATATGTGAAGATGAGTAATGCATGAACTGAGAATGTTGTGCATGATATAATTCATAATTGGGATGAGGCCGCTCAACTGGCTGTTGTTTTTGTTGTGTTTTTTTTGTTGCTGTTGATGACAAGCGATGAATGGAGAAAATGGATGAGAGAGAAATACCTTGCGGACCTTGTCAAGACATGACCATCTTTAATGACTTCAACTCCTTGAGACCATCTATTCTTGAGATAATATAGACGTCGAAGCTCCACCTCCATATAAACCATATCTGAAGGGTCTCCTTTAAAGAGAAGGAAGAAATAGGTCCGGTGTACGACTGGCACATAGCATTCATCCCAAAGCTCAATTATTTCTTTCATCTTCCTCTCAAATTCCATTGTCCTGTTGGAAAGAGTTTCTTGTGAACGGGTTTCTATAGATAGATCCTCACATGCATATTTTACAAATTCCCTGTGTATTTCTTCTGCTTCATATAGCTACAAAGAAAGTGATATATGATGTTAGATTCTCCGGACCAACCATCACAGAATTTGATATAAACTTGAATGAAGATTGCAGGGATCTCACCAATTGGAAAAGTTGCTTTTCAGATTTAGCCTTGCCATCTTTTGTATCATCACAGTATTGCTTCTCAGGCATAGTTTTAACATCTTTGTTTACTTTTGTAGCGAAACCTGTTTCGGTATTTCTAGGAATGCCCATGAGCCCAGTCTTCTCATCACATTCTTGTTGCCTTCCGTTTATGTCCTTTTCAGATCCATTAGGTGTTTTCACAATATTTACCTTTCCAGTTTCATTTGTTGAATCCATGATTCTTGTACTGGACTCGGTTTCGATGCATTTGACTTCCTTCCAGCTATCTTCCAAACTCTGATGGTATTCATGAGTAGCATTCTCCCAGCCCTTACATGGGTCCGGACCGAAATACTTATCAAAATAGATACTGGGAGAGGTGTCATCCGATAAAAAGTGGTCATCAGGGACCTCTGCAAAACTATCAAATGAGTCTGAAAAATGTGATGCACCAGACGCAATATCTGACCAAAACGGTTCGATTGTCTCTGAAGCTTCAGATGCCGAATGATATTCCGAACTTGTCTCAGCCTAAGGAGAACGGATATGTGAATCAAGATGTTGCTCATATGTTAAGTCATACCACATTTGGGATAAATATAAAAATAAAAAACCAACACATAAAGATTTGGGCTACTCTCCTATCATTTTTATTTAACTTGTTGAGATATATACAGAAAATCAAGAATATATCTCTTAATTCATACCCATGATCTTGAATGTAGCAAATCATAAATCCAAGACTGAGCCATGTCACGCTGCCGCATCAACTCTTTGATTTCAGAGTCCATCTGTTTTAAACATTTTATAGAGAGCAAACACAGTGCAACATTTTAGGATACGTTTATTCACAAAGCCAAAAAAAGGCTAAATGCCGAATCTTAAAAACCACCTTTACCTTTTGAATAAGAGCTTCCTTCTCCTTCATTGCTGGAGTTGTAAATGCAGCCAAGTTCCTCAGTTGAGTTTCCAGTCTTTCCACTTCACTTTGCAACTGTCTCACCAAAGCTTTTTCGGTCATCACTACATTGACATGGGCATTGGTAGAGACCTGTTTGGCACAGGTTGCAAACATGAGTGTGTTTCTTGACTGCTCAGCTTGACTGCGAGCAGGGCTCATGGTGCATATGATCGCGGTTCTTGCATTCCCTCCTAGTGAGTTCTGCAATATACGGGTTAGCTTGGAGTCTCTATATGGGATGTGTCCATTTCTTCCTTTACTGATCAAAGCCAAAATCATATGTTAAATCAGCAACAACTAATGTAAGGTGGAGTCTATGGCCCTGTTCTTTTTCAAGCTTTTATTTGAGACTTTGAGTTATACATACTCCTCACTCTAGTTACCATTTATCAGACTCTGGACACTAGACTGAGTAGACTCTAGTTAAATTCAAGGCAAAAAGAACAGGGCTTATATCAATTAATAGGATGAATGATACTAACCTTAGTTTACGAATACAAGTTCCTAGGGCAAGCAAACTCCGGTTTATGTGGCAGCCCTCTTTGGTTCTAGCATTGGCTGATGATAATGTTTGAGAAGCACGCTCACTTCCTGCAAGATCAACAAAATCCTGCATTTGCGCCAGAGAATAGATTTTTTTCGTTTACTTCTTTTCCATTCCTTTTACATTCAAAAAAAGAAGCTAGAGTATCCATTTGGTAACACAATTTTTCAGCTCATTCGTAAGATTTTCTATCAACCAGTAGCCTTTTTAGACTTATTTTTAAAATCATATAAAACCATGAAGATAGGGATTTGTTTTCATACCGCTGAAGCTGATAAAATGCTATCTTTCTGAGAACTAGAGATTTGGGTAACACAACTTTCAACAGTCTAAAAAAGAAATAAAGAAGTTTTATTATTAATACTACTAAAATCAGAACTGCAAACATGAATCTTTTATTTAGGGGTGAAACCAAGGAAGTTTGTGTTTGTAATGAAAAATTCTATCAAAGTGAAAAAGAATGCGTACCAGTCGCAGGATCTGGTGAGACCTTGAGCTCGTTTCATTCATAGAGGTTTCTCCTATTTGTCTCTGTGCTGCAACAATGCGTAACTAGTTGATCAATTGATGTAATGTATGGATGAAAGTTTATTTGCTTGTTTGACTTGATATAATACTTCGTAGTATATAACTAACTTGTACGGATGAATGTTAAACAGTTATGCTTTAACTATATATGCAAGAGTGAAGGGTGATCTTTGGGGGTCCCTCGTACTCGGTGCAGTGGGCCCAACCCATGAATGAGACATGTCACACGATGTTGCAAGAGCTCTCTTACCTTCACAGATGGACAAAAGTTCCTTTACATGTACCAAATCTCTCACTATCACCTCCGTAAGTCTCTCAACAACTGTTCCTTTCTGCAGATAGAAATGTCATACGAAAATTAATGCTTTGTGAAATCAATCTCCAAACTTCCATGACTCAAAATATTAACCTCTGGATCATCTAGAAGCCTTAGTGGCGTACTGTCCGAGCTGAGGAGGTCCCTGACTGACTCATTATAGATCTCCATAGCAGAGAACTTGAGTTTATATTGCCTTTCTTGGTGCTACATGTTCAAGAAAAACAAGTAGAATTTAAAAGGACAAAAATTAATCATGTGTCACATTCCTTTGCATATTCCAGGATAAAACCAATCAAAGGAATATAATATCTCTCGCCAGTCGCCATTTTTTCTATTCTCATTGGCTTTTTAGTAATTTGTGGGGAAAAAATTATTTGGACAAGGTGGTAAAACTCTGAGTACCTTTTTTATGTGGTTAAAGATATCAGCCATGGCGAACTCAGTAATCCCAGACATTGTATGTGTCTTTCCACTGCTTGTCTGGCCGTAGGCAAAGACGCTTGCTGGAGAATAATTTACACAGGAAATTAAGGCCTAGTTTGGTATACACATGATATGACATAAGAGTCAAAGAGTCAGGGAAGAGATATATCCATACAGTTAATTCCAGTTAGGACTGTGAGAGCTACCCTTTTAGCAGCTTCTTCATAAACTTGCAATGTGGAGCAATCCCACCCAAATACCCTGTCTATACCTTGAAGCATCAACCAATATGCAGGATATGATGACATTAAGGTTCAGTTTTTTTTCCTGGGAAATTATTTTCCTAGAACACTTTTTTTCCGGGAAATTATTTTTCTTGTGTTTCAAATGGGAAAACATCTGTTTAGAAAGGTTATCGTGTTTTGGCATGAAAAATATGTAGGACCTCTGGTTCTATCAACCCTTTTAAAACCAATTGGTGTTACGAAATGCACATAGCCTAGCATTACTCTCCATTTGAACACACACATGACCTGCAATTATTTTCTGTGATTCTTTGTATATATTATCATTTTTCCAAAAGCAGTTCTTTATCTTCTATTTTTGTGGGTCAAGCTATTTTTCTGCAACCAAACAGAACCTAGGAATACATGGAACATAAAACAGCATTCTGATATTTATTGTCTTACCAAATTGATATGCAGTGGGAAGCAAAGAACGTTCGCCGAGATTGTTGTTGTTGTTATATAAGATGGTGTTGTTGTTGATGCATTCCCAATGTGAGACATCATTCAGGGAGAGTTCTCTCTGGTTCAGAGGCCTCAACCTTATGGCAACAAAGATCTTATCTTCATGTGCATTTGATGAACCCATTTCTTCATTCCATTGAGAATTGTTTGATCCCATACAATGAACCCATTTCTTCTTGGCCCTTCCTATTTCATGTGCCACAAAGCAGATGTTCTTGATCAAGGATTATCAATTCTCTGCTCTTTTCTTTTTTTTTCTTTCTTCTTTTTTTTGAAATTGAATTTCTTCAGATGAACAAAGAGAGGAACAATCATGGGATTTTCAAAATTACTGGTAAACCCCTCTTCTTTTTATTATATTGTTATCTGCAAACCCCCAATTAAAATTTATAGAATAGGTTTAAATAGTACGTAAGTTCTTTTTTTTCTTTATTCTTTATGAAAGTGTTGTTTTGTTTTTGACTTTTCCTACCTAACAAGGCAATGCAAAACCAAGACATTTATGTGCAGAAATACTTGCTATGGTTTTCATTTTATTTGATATTCGCAGTGATTCAAACCAATAAATTTTGGCTAGATTTAATTTCTAAATATCTTACAACAAAAATACTTACAACCCTCGTCTAGAGTACTTACGGTGCATAAAATTTACAACACTCGTTACGGGTAATCACTTTAGGTTTACCCTTTCCTCTAACTAGTTTTTCATTTGTACTCTTCTTACAAGATGTTCTATGGGTCTTCTCTCTACATGTTCAAACCACCTAATGCCTACTTCCACTATCTTGTCTTTTAAAAAGGATACTTGTATGCATTTAGGAGGTCTAAAGAAGACTTATACACCCTTTTTGAGTCCTTTTGAGCTTCCTTATAGCTGTAAAAAAATCTTAGGAGTGGGCAAAAAAATTGAACTAGCATGATACCATACTGGAATGTAATGGTACTGAACTGTTTATAGTGTTTTCAAAGGGGAATGATTTTTTTCATCACGAACCGAAGCCAAATCGATATCAAATGAGACGGAACCGTGATACAAATATTCAAAATCAATTATCACGGACTAAACTGTCCAAAGCTATATACGGAGTACGTATCCCAAATAATTATGAAGTATTTGTCTACTTCATCTTACCGTATATAGAGTACTTTGTATTTTATTATTTATTTTTAAATTCTTTCATCATTATTGTTGTTATTATATTTATTACTACCATTGGCATTATTTTTTATAGTTATTAATAGTCTAATATTATATGAATTGAAAAAATATTATTTTTAAAATTTGGAGTCGTTATCTTTTATTTTTAATGTTTATGATCAGTTTAAATTCAAAATCAATTATTCTATTTAACAAAGTTTTGATTTTTTATACAAATTTATACTCCCTCTGTTCTCAAAAAGTGTTCCTAAATTGATCAAATGTAAAAATAAGGAAGTGTTAAATTGTACTCCCTTCGTCCTATAATGATCTTCCCAGAGCACTATTTCAACTTCACGGGAATTTATATTTATTTGTGTTCTTTCATGGCCTATATGATAAAATAAAATATTCTTGTCACCACTTATTTTGTTGAACTTTTTTAAATATGTATGTTTTATTTTTAATTTTTATACCAATATTTAAATAAAATAGATTGAAAAAGCTTGGGATTTTTCTTCGTTTTGCGAACCGGGAAGATCATTATAGGAGGGAGTAGTTGACTTTCAATTTTGCCTTTGATGTGATGGGTAAAAATTAGATGTGATGGATAGATTATTAGAGAAAAAAGTATGATGTGATAGGTAAAGTATGAAAAAGTACTCCCTCCGTCCCACTGTGTTTGTCCACTTACCTTTTAGCACACCATCCAATGCACTGCTTTAATCCATTTTATCTTGTAATTTATATATTAAAAAAATATAAAAATTATATATTAATAATCTATATGTTAAGACGAATCAAACAAGATCACACATAACTATTTTTAGGCTTGCACATTAAGAGAATTTGATGAGTCAAAGTGCTTAGAATGAACAGTTCCAAAAGTTAAATATGGACAAAGACAATGAGACAGAGGTAGTAGTTTTTAAATAACAAGTGGAAGTGGTTTGTTGAAAGTGAAAAAATGAAAGAGGAAGTGTTTTTGAGAACGGAGGGAGTACAAAAATTCAATATTTTTTGAGTAATATAAGTTCATTTTTGCACGGTTTGAGCATGAATTTGGTATTGTACCGTTACATTTCAAAACAGAATGGTACTAAATGGTTTTGGGATTCATCTCATACCGATATCAAACCGCTTAAATAATAACGGTATGTAATAGTTTCCGGTAGTATCATGATCCGCGCCCACCCCTAAAAAAATCTACCCCCTCCGTCCCCGAAAACTTTTTTGGTTTTGGCTTTTGGGAAGGGAAGATATAGAAGTTTGAATAAGGCGAAACGACGACAATTGAAACAAGTTAGGCTCGAGAAATATCAAAATGGGTAGAGCGTAGAAGTTGTTGAAGTACGTTCGGTTAGATTTAAGAAAAGTAAGGGCAATTGTGTCCATTTAGACAAAATTGAAATGTTTTATGAGACGAATATGAATTCAAAGTTAAAATGTTTTAAAGGACGAATGAAGCATATTCCAGAGGTTAGAAAAATTTTGCACCTTGACGGGTCTTGGAAGGGTTATGAAGCTTTTAGTTCTTGAAGGCCATTTGAATTCATTGTATGTTTCCAATGCAGGATAGTTAAGACTCTCTCCGTTTCAAATAAAGTTATTTGTTTATTATTTACGTGGTCAAATTTTATTTATTTTTTTCTCAATTTTTTGCTAGTTATTTCATAAAAATAATAAAGTTATGACATCTCTTATTTAATAAAATTTTTTGGCCTAATTTTTCTTTAGGTTATACCAAGTGTTCTCCGGGCAAAAAACAATATCTTAAAGAAAAGAGAATTCTTTTTGTCATTCAAAGAAGCTTGGAAGGCCCCGAACTTCACTACTCCATTGGACTGACAAGGTTTTATATAGACTTGATAAGTCTATGATGTTTTTATCATTTGTCTAATAGTTATGTGTTCTTCTCTACGTGTCCCCCCAATCATTGTTGATAATATTTGATGGTCCTGAACAATTTTTAAATTCCTAGGTTTTATTGTTCAAATATAAAAATTATTTAAGAACTTTTCATCATCAAGTATCTATTAAATACGGAGTACATAATATAATTAACATTTAAATTAATGAAACTTTAAAAAATTACAATATCATTAAAATTATTAAAGAAAATCGGAATTGACGAACACGTATAACATGCATGGACTTGAGGTAAGTATACTGAAGCCTCAATTCCTTGTCTAATTGAATGATAACTAAAATGAGTTACATTGCTTTATTTTTCATGTTTCAAAGTTTACATAATTTTTAGTAGAAAAAAATTTATATCTCACAATTTTTAGCCTTTTAAAAAAGTCAACACAATGACCTCGCACATTGTTTACTTTTTAACCTTTTTTAAGATATTTTTTAATTCTTTTTAATGAAAGTGTAAACTTTATTGTAGAATAAGTGAATGACAGAAGAATAATCTCTAAAATGGTCCCTCTTGCAATTTGGGCCCTGTGCGGATGCACATGATGAACGCTCCTGTGGCCCCCACGCTTGTATATAATTGGGATCAACATATGTATACTACGTATTTATGAATTATGATTTTTACTATAGAAATAATCATTTTTTATTATTGGTACATAAAAAATCTCTTAAAAACTTGCATTTCTGACCAAAATTGTACTCCCTTCGTCCCAATTTAAATCGCCTGTTTTAACTTTTGGGCGTATTTAAGAAAAATAAAAAATAGAGTTGATTTTTCGAAATTGACATTACTTTTTAGGAAAAGTGACGATGAATGAGAAGATAAGGTGAAGAAGTGTGACTTATTTTAGGGGTAGTTTAGGTATTTTCTTTTTAAAAGTTTACGAAAACAATTAACAGACAACTTATTTTGGGACGAAGAAAAAAGACAAACAGACAATTTAAAATGGGACTGAGGGAGTAACATCCTAACTCATATAATTTACCAACTATTATGAATAGATTATTTCAATTATGATTAGTCAATAACATAAGGTTAAATAGGAGTTGGAAAATATCAAACAAAGATGAAAAACTGACACATTTATTTTAAGATATATTTTTTATATTCTTCATGAGCACAAAATAGCTTTCAAGCATTGTATCACGTTCGTCCACCAGCTCAGCTCCATCACCTACAAAACGTTCAAAACTATTCAAGACTTAGGGACATGATTAGGACATTAAAATACCTCTTAAAAGATTGCCATGTTATATGGCGTATCTTAGATTAGAAGTTTAGCAAAAATTTGAAGATTTAATTTGTAAAAAAATCTTGGCTATAATTTGAAGTGCTCCAACTTTTTCCACTTTAAAAATTTCATGTTCAAAGTGTCGAATATATAAGGATATTGCTTCCCCATTTTGAATAATTCCTTCATTGAATGATTTATCCCTAGTATATCAATCAATGGTAGCTTCTTGCTTCTTAGTTGTCAACTTCATGATCGAGAATTTGCACTTTTTCCTCTTCATAAGTCATTTTCCATCATCTCTGATGGAGCCAAAATTTCACCATTTTTTGGCTTTGGGGTGTGATGGAATAAATCAAAATGGATCTCTAAACTGTCTGCGCTTCTTTAATTAATGAAGTAGCAGTTAGTCAAGCAATGCAATTTTCGACGTTGAGCCGGGGGTCTCTTTGGAAACAGCCTCTCTACTTTCGAGTAGGGGCAAAGTCTGCGTACACACACCCTCCCCAGACCCTACTCTTGTGGGATTTAACTGGGTCGTTGTTGTTGTCCTCTTCATAAGTCAACTTTTCGTCTAACGATATTAATCAGGCTAAGAATGTATGTATATGAAGTCGATTTGATACTTTCACAACATAGAGACATGAAATACATTATTATCGCTCAGATAGTAGTGCAAATTGATGAGCAATTACTCTATCCTAGATTATCATTACATTGTCCTCAATATCTCGAACAGCCTCGAATACAATTAACTTCCATTCTCTTAGCTCAATCCAACAAATAGAAGTTTTGGGTTATACATTTTCTTCCATATAAAAGCTTGTATGGATTCATCTAGATGTTGGATTGATAATTGTTATTGTATGCGAATTCCAATGAGTGATAGGTATTTCTCCCAGTTCCCTCGGAAATAAATTATGTAATCACCCATCATATGATTTCAAAGTCAATGTGTAGGAAACACCTCAATAAAACACAATTAGACCTTCAATCAAAAGAGACCATTCCTTCATCTTCAAAGGAGAACCAAACCGCAACTCAACTCACCAATGCAAACGAAATACTCAATTGCAATCTAACATATCTAAACTCATACCTTCCCAACAAGTCAACAGCATTTCTTAATCTCAAACAATACCTGATTTTTAGCCAAACGTGCCTTAATTTGAATCAATACTCTAATGGCTCATTTGGAAGGTAATTCCAAACTACGTCGCTTAAAATCATGGGTTTTGAGTATGATTTGAAGTTGGAGATTTAGAGTCATTGTGATGGTTTGAAAAAACTTGTTTGGATGGGTGTAATTCTGTTTTTGAACAAAAAAACTACTTGAAAAAAAGAAAAAAAATTCGCCTCCCATGGTGATCCCGAAAAACCAGATACCAAATCTTGACTTGAAATCATAGTCTGATTAGTGAATACCAGAACGTTAACCAAACAAAACAGGGCCATTTTTTATCAGTACAAAAAGTGTTCCTGAACCCAGTACAAACCCTATTCCTAATCTGCTTTTGCTGACTAGGACAACAAAGCGCCACATCAGCCTCCCATATAAGTTACAAGGTATTCTTAACTTGTGTTTTTCACATTGTTAAGAACNCCCCTTAAACGCTCTACCTTACGTCAAGAACAATTCCTTTGTCTAAACTACCCACAACACCTATAAATCAACAACTTACATCATATCATTTGTTGATCCTAACTCCAAAACATTAATCAACAGATTATCCGCGACTGGTTCTATGCCCTAGGTTTTCATCATGCCAGATTTCAAGACGTGGCCGCTAAGAAACAACACATTATGGGTGAAGACTTTGGTTATAGTGACAATGACAGGTTTGGTGGCTGCAGAAACAGCCAAACGGCAAACTCTGTCATTGCCACCACCGCATAACAACAAGCACAGAGAAGGGCAAGATAGAGAATCACCGTTGAGGCAAATGGAAGAAGACTACTACGGGGAATGGGATCCTGCACCGTACTTCGGTGGCAGCTATCCAGCTCCGATTCCTCATTGGAAGAAGAAGAAGAAGGTCCATTGCTGTGCCCAAACCACTGCCAAGTCAGACGAGGACTCTACAGCACACTGAACTTGATGTTATCATACAGCAAAGTGTTTTCAATTAAAGTGTTCTATTTCCCCACAGACGTCATTTTTTTACAAATTGAACCAAGCTTATACCTTCTTTAGTCTCTCATATATGTATTATCACTCAGTTTGGAATTCAACATTTACTGGATTCATTATGGTCCTTTGACTAAGAAATGTGGACTGAATTTAGCCGCCAATACATTTTTGGTTTTAGACCCAATCCCGAACTCAACTTGGACCCAATTTAGTCATACACGTAAGAAAATATGTTCTTAATTATAGGAAAATATGCATGAGAGCCGAATTAGGTCTAAGTTCATAGTTGATGACCAAATTGAGCAGTAGTGTGTAAGTGGGACCAAATCAGGTATCGACTCAATTTGAACATTTTACAATTCGTTGGCAAATGCAAATGCAATCCAGGAAACTATATATGCATGAAATTGGTAAAATATAAATTAAAAGAGCATAACAAAGTGCTAATTGAACAAGTATTTGTCACAAGTCTGAAAAGGCAGGTAGATCACCTTTTCACGACCGTACATATTGATAACATAAGGATATCATTGGAGCAATCTAATGTATAATAATAGTACACTGTATGTCTGTATGCAATAAAGGATGCAATATATATAAGATTGAACAAAAACCATATTCGAGATGTCATTAATGAAGCCAACCAAAATTGAGCTCTCTGTGCAGAAGAGCTGTTGTGGTACAAAACTTGAGCAGCAGGGAGAGTTCGATCCACATGCCAATCAAAATATTTCCTGAAATCTTGTTACCTGCATTAGGGCAAAATAAAAAAATGGAAAATAGACCCAATCAGCTGCTCTAATGATGTCAGAAGGGACTTCATTTCTCATCTAAACAAGCCAACAAGTAATATAAGGAGCTATGCTTCTGAATAGTAGGAAAAGGCTTTTCAGAAACTTTTAAAGCTCACATTCAGTATCCATATTGGTTGCTCAGTAAGATAGAGCATTTGTCATGAATAATAAATATAAAATCATATTTAAGTAAGAACCGAGAAAGCTTTGAAACAAAAATAATCTAAGTTGTTTCCTTCGACCCATGAACCAAGAAAACTAAGCATGAAGTCATAAACATAGTTGTTGGCAGTCTAATGCATAAGACCTAGTATGAATTAGTAAGGACTAACTAAGGAATTGAAACAGTGTTAATGATTCTGGATACAAACAGTTCTTCCGTATGGCACCACTATAGAGTATATGCTCTACTTTCATACACTTCCTATGGATTCACAGATTTCCTATGGATCATGGTGGATCACACACAATCTGCCAAGCAATTCTGTAATGAGGTGCCATGACCGCCATTTAATAGCTTTAAGTATAGCGACTTAAGAAAAGCACCTTGCCTTAAGAGTGCTTATTGTGGTAAATAATAACTACTCACATAAGACGTCTCCCAGATGGACCGGTGAAAGCAGCAACTTTTTGAGCACGATGTGCTTCAGATTTATATAGCTCTTTCATGTCCTTTTTTGCACGGCGGGCTTCACGCTTTTCTTCCTTGACAGCAGCCTTTAAAAAAATCAACAAAAACATCAATATAAGTTTTCCCTTTAATGTAGAAGAGATGGGGAGGGTAGATGAGAAGATGGATCTCTTAAAACTAACTAAAGGCTACATTTGATCTTAAGCACCAACGACGATTATATTCCTCCAAACATAAACCTATGAATATCTAATCATTCTCATGGAAGAGGCCAGAAAGGTAGATGAGGGGATGGGTCTCCTGAATCAATTTGAAGGCTATATTTGATCTTAAGCACCAATGATGAGATTATTCTTCATAACTCAATTCTATCCATATCTCTTCTTCCTCTTTTTATTCCTCCCTTGTCCTAGCTTGTATTTTGTAAATGCTCTCTTTTGTAATTTTATCTATGCATTACTTCAGTCATCATATACAAACGTGTGAAAAATATAAAGCACCATCTTATCGCAGCTCTTAAAAAGAAAGCAAAACATTCTTTATCAAAAATCAGGCAAGCTAAAATTGATAAATTAGAATGTGTAAATGATTGTATTGAAAGTAAAATACGAACAAATTACAATGAAAATACACCTACCTTCCTTTCCTTTTTTTCTTCTTTTGACTCCTGACCATGTTGCTTCCTTTTGTATTGTTCGCCTTTAGACTTATCACTTTCGTCTTCTTTCTCATGCTTTTTCCTCCTATTTTTCCCTGAAGCATCCTTACCCCTATTAGGCAAGAAATCCACTGGAAGCATCTCCTTTCCTTTCAGTGAAATAATGGGTGCAGAAGCATTTGAGACTTCAGAAATAGTAGCCAGCTTCTTTTTTCTCTGTGCACCTGGAACTTCAATTTTCCCAGGATGATTGTCCAGATTGGAATATGTAGAAACTACTGTCTCACAGTCCCATATTTCAGATTCACTGCTGCTTTCATCAAAAAGGACTGCCTCTTCATCTTCACTCTCATTTTCATACTTCTCAGCGTATTCCCTGCACCGGTTAATAACATCAGGAGCAGAATCAAGAGGCTCCTCATCATCTGTCATCTTTTTATTATGAAGGACCATTTGATTTTGATTAACTTCCGACTCATTTAATGAGTAGAGCTTAAAGGTGTGACCGAGCTTCTCTGCAAGAGAAGCCTGACAATCATTTTCATCATCCATTAAATTAATGCAATCATCTTCCCCTTCGGATCCATATTCTTCAAGTTCAAGCTGTAAAGAGAAACTGCAAATCAGGCACTTTCAAGTCGACTTGTGATAATCAAAAGCGATCACAGAATAACATAATGGATTACAGTAATCATTTTATTTTATAGTAAACTGGTTGGTAAAAAGATGCTCACCATGTCAAACTGCTCATCTATTGCACGTCGGACTCTTGGCTTTTCTTCAAATCTGACATCACCCTTCTCTCTGACCTCAGTAGCCTTGTCTACTTCTTCATCAAGAACTTCTGGCAAATTTGCCTTAAGCACAAAATCCTCATCTAAATCTTCAACATCAGATCCAAAGTGCGAAAAATCACTGTCATCTAGAATTGCAGCAACCTCGGGATCCATTGCTTTTTGGACACTAACACCCACAGTCTTAGTAGCCACACTATATACAGTGTCAATGGAATTGTCATAATCATCGCAGACTTTTGAAACATTTAATCTTGAAGCATCATAAGCCTATATGGAGCCACACGCAAAAGAAAACTTCAAAGCCCAGCAATTTAACACCTTCACATATTTGATAAGTTTAAACATGCAGATTACCATACTAGTATCACTTGCAATCTTATTACGTGAAACTATCTTTTCATTTCTTACACATATACATTTGCATCAATGGCATGATAATAGAATAATGGACCTTGATATCATGTTGAATCGGGTGGAACTGAGATTTTGGATTTTGATAATAATTCGAACCCCCGCCAGTGTTTTTAATTTCTCTCAAGTGGGTCAAGTAGTTGTAGCCATCATCCGGAAACCCTAATTCCAATATCTCCTTCCTTATGTGATCAGGCAACGGCTTCTTCTGAGCTTGGTTACCCGGAATCCGGAAGGAGAAGTCGTCTCCTTCGCAATCATAATCACCTGGAGCGTCATCGAAGATTCCACCATGGCCATTATCCGGCGCTCCGCCGTCAGTCTCGCCGGCGTCACCGAAACCGTCGACGGAATAGGGATTATTGTCGAGCCTATAAAAAGTTCTGTCGCCGGCAGGCCCGGATTGGTAATTCGGACCCGAGGAGTCTCGAGCGAGCAACTGAAACGTTGCCGACTTTTTCTTGTCGATGAATTTCTTCGTCTTTCCCATTTAAGGAGTGATTGTATAGCAAATCAAATCATATGTTGGGAGAAAGATGAGCAGTTGAATTGCTGAGGTCTCAGATAGGGAGTGTGGCGGAACCCTAAACATGGAGGCGCCAGATTTCTTAAAACCTGAAAAGAAAATAACCTCACAAGCAAAATAAACATTTCAAAAACTAAATTCCCAAAATAGTCCTATGTAATAAAAGTTTTTCATAATTAGTCTTCAATAAGTTTTAATTACTTACGTGGTCTTCTATAATTGAGATTTATTTCTAAAATAGTCCTTTGTAATAAGGTATTTTCCCAAATCAGTCCTCAATAAATTTTAATTATCTACGTGGTCCTTTGTAATTGAGATTTATTCCCGAAATGGTCCTTCATAAATAATATTACTTAAATGAAGATTAATTGAAGGTATTTTTTATCCGCTAAATTTAGAATTAATTCTTAAAATAATCATTTATAATGAAGTGTTTTTTCCAAAATGGTTTTTCTAATTAAAGATGTGTATTTGATTTGAAATTTAAAAGATTTTTTTTAAGTTTTAAATAATTTATAAATTATTTATAGTCAATGTATTTTTTAAATTTTACATTTAATTGTACAAAAATGATTGTTTCGAAAATATACTTTAAATTTGGATGATCAAAATACCAAAATATCTCCCAATTAATCCTCATTTGAAGACTGATTTGGGGTAACACCTTATTACATAGAGATAAACCAAATACATTTATAAAACTTAAAAAAAATCTTTTAAATTTCAAATCAAATGCACATCTTTAATTAGAAAAACCATTTTGAAAAAGGACTTCATTATAAATGATTATTTTAAGAATTGATTCTAAATTTAGCAGAGAAAAAATATTTTCAATTAATCCTCAATTGAGTAACATTATATACGAGGGATCATCTTGGGAATAAATATCAATTATAAAAATCACATAGGTAATTAAAATTTATTGAGGACTGATTTGGGAAAATACATTATTACAAAGGACTATTTTGGGAATAAATCTCAATTATAGAGAATCACGTAGATAATTAAAACTTATCGAGGACTAATTTGGGAAAACACGTTATTGAAAAGGACTATTTTGGGAATTTACTCAATTTCAAATTACTATCTCTATTTGGTACTCGAAATCCAGTATAGAATTTGAAATGAGAGTAACATTTTCATATTGTTATTTGTTACTCACTTCGTCCCAAAATATTTGTCACATTTATATTACTAAGGCAAAATATTTTATTTTATTAAATAACCAATGAAAAACGTAGAAATAAACAAAAGTTTTCGCGATAATTGAAAAAGCAAATATGTCAAATAATTTGAGACGGATGGAGTAATATAAAAATATGTGGATTTAGATTTGGTAGTGCCAAAAACAAATTCGAATTGGAGAATACTATTCCATAGAATTTAAATTTTCAATTCAGTTCTGATTCTGTTAATTTCTTATACCAAATAGACTCTTACTATTTTTTCTATAACTTATATTTATATTCATGCTTTTTTATTAATTACTTCCTCGATCCCAATTTATTGTCTATTTTGGTTTACAATATTTGAAAATGGTATAGAATTAAAAAATAAAAATTACATATTGAGACACTACATCAAAAGATTTACAAAATTAATCCTCGCATAACTATTTTATTTTATTGTCTTTTATTTCTCTTTTATTGTCTTTAATATCTCTCTCTAGCTATGGCACGGAGAGGTCGGCCGAAGAAGAAGCAACAACCAACCAATGCAAAACAGAAATCTGAATCCGATAAGCCTGAATCATCGGACTCTCACGTCCAGGATGGGGCTGCGCAGGAGGCACCCATATCAAAGGAGATCCAGCAAGACCTAGACGATGCACAAACAATCGATTCCAGATGGTATTCATATAGACGAAGGGCCAGAGATGATACCAGATACTGAACCAAAAACCTATGCTGATGTTGTGGGTAAGGTTGACTGTAAGCTTACCTATATAGAAGCAGAGGAGATGAATGGAAATAGGTTTGCCCGATTGACTGAAGATGATATTGTGACCTCCGTGACATACTGGATTCAGCAGCGATGGTTTGTATACTTGGTGCGAATCCACCTTTATCTATAGCTGAGGGTTTTATTCGAAGGATTTGGAAGGATTTTTCAATAGATGAGATTAAATTTTCCAAACCTGGACAATATGTTGTTCGATTTCACTCTGAGGACAGTAGTGATGAAGCAATCAGTAGGACTTACTATCAATTTGACAAGAAGCCAGTTTATGTTCGTAAATGGAAGCCTGGATGTACAATTGACCTGAATGTTCTCAATGACATTCCTATATGGGCACAACTCCCTGATCTGGAACTAAAATACTGGAGCCTATCAGGGCTGAGTAAGATAGGGAGCCTATTGGGGAAACCCATAAGAACAGATAATGCTACTGCAACAAAGACTAAAATGGAGTATGCTAGGATGCAAGTAGCAGTTGCTATGAATCAACAATTTCCGGATAAGATATTGTTTGCTGATGAAAACAAAAGACTTATTACGCAAAAGATCAAGTGCGAGTGGTGTCCAGTCACCTATACTCATTGCAAAGGGTTAAGACATACCCAAAATACATGTAGAAGAAAAGATGGACAAAGTAAACAGAGACTAACCTGGAAACCTAAACACTTACAGAAGGACCAGGGGGTGGTGAAGAAGACTCAAGATAAGGAGGGTGTAGTGGAGGAAACAATGGTACCATCTAGTAATGGAAAAGGCCTCAAAGGACAATTATCCTTAAGTAGACAAGGGGGTGATCAGAGGGGGTCATCCGCAATTAGACAGGTAGGAGACCAGGGAGAAACAACCACAAATAAACAAGAAGGGTACCATTCTAATGGGTTTGTAGAGGTCAAAAGGAAGAAGGCATTCAAAGGTTCACTGACAGTGGCTAATGATAAGGTGCGTTATCATGATATATTGTTGCATAGAGAACTATTTGAAACCCCATATAAGGGGCACTTACCATTCTTGCTATGATTGGTTGATGGAATGTAAGAGGACTGAATAGTCCTAATAAACAAGCAGCAGTGAAGAATCTAGTAAATAAGTATGCCATTAGCCTTATAGGACTGTTGGAAACAAAAATAAAGGATCCTAATTACTTGGAGGTAGAGAATAAACTTTTTAATGGGTGGGGAACTTACATCAACAATAAGGATCACCCAAATGGGAGGATATGGGTGGTATGGAGAAGGCAGAGTTATGAAATAAGGGTGCTAGAATTGACAGATCAGACTGTGCATTGTTATGGAGTGAACAGGAGTATGGGCATAATGACTCTAACAACAGGAAAGAGATGTGGGCATCCATTAAGAGATACTCCATAACTGTAAGAGGAGCCTGGTGTGTATGGGAGATTTTAATGCTGTGTTACATATGAAAGACAGAATTGGGGGCTGTAGAGTAACCCAAGAGGAGACAAAAGAATTTGAAGAATGTCTTAGGGATTGTGGATTAGAGGAGGTTCCCTGCGCTAGAGCTTACTACACATGGTCTAATAATAAGCAAGGCCAAGGAAATAGAATTTACTCTAAATTAGACAGAGTACTCAGCAATGTTGAATGGGTCGCAAAACATGGTGCCAAAACAATCATTCTGGAGGAAGGGATCTCAGACCACTGCCCCATGATTGTTCCTAATAGCCAAAGTCAGAATACGAAGAAGGAATTCAAATACTGTGATATGTGGAGACTAGACCCTAATTTCCAGTCAATAATTCAGGAGGGTTGGTCTAAACAAGTAGAGGGCAGACCAATGTTCCAGCTACAGCAGAAACTTAAAACACTAAAAGCACCCCTGAGAAAGTTAAATAGAGATAAGTTCTACCAGATATACAAGCAAGTGGAAGTAATCAGGGTGGAACTTGAAGAAACTCAAAAGCATCTAAAAGAAAATCAAGAGGATAGTGGTTTGCTATACCAAGAGAAACATCTCACTAAGGATTATCTCCTGAAACTAAGTAGCAAGCCTTATGAGAAAACAGCAATCTAAGATGGAGTGGATTGCAGAGGCTGACCAAGGATAAAAAATGTTTCAGGCTTGGATTAAAAAGAGGCAGATACAGAACAAAATTATATCCATGAGGGATAATGAAAATAACCTGGTGAATGACTCAGTCGGGGTGGAGAGGGTGATCATTGATTACTACCAAAACTTATTGGGCTCAACCACATATACAAAGAACATACAAGGTGAAATAATACATAGAGGGAAGGTCCTATCATTGGAACAACAATGTTACCTGATTGCACCGTTTCAGGAAGAGAACGTGAAGAAAGCACTATTTGACATACCAAACAGCAAGAGCCCTGGACCAGATGGGTACTCGAGTGGGTTCTTTAAGAGCCAATGGGTTACAGTTGGAAGTCTAGTAAGTGCAGTTGTACTAGATTTCTTCAGGGATGATGTAACATTGAAGCAAATAAACAGCACAAAATTATCCTCATACCTAAAACGGATAACCCCCAAGGGGTAAAGGATTACAGATCTATAGCATGTTGTAACGTAATCTACAAAGTCATCTCAAAACTCCTTTGCAGCAGGTTGAAGCAGGTATTACCACACATCATAAACCAAAACCAAGAGGCATTTGTGGAAGGAAGGAAATTATTGCATAATGTGCTACTCTGCCAGGAACTAGCCAAAGGGTATAATAGAGAGGGAATATCAGCTAGATGCATGATCAAGCTTGATATAACAAAAGCCTATGATTCCATAAGTTAGAAAGCCATTGAGGATATGCTGACATATTTTAAATTTCCAGATCAATTCATAAGGTGGGTAAACTTTTGCATAACTCCATCGTTCACTGTATGCATCAATGGAGAATGTAAAGGTTTATTCAAAGGGGGAAAGGGATTAAGGCAAGGAGACCCAATTTCCCCCTCTTGTTTGTTATGGTTATGGAATACTTCACTCGAGTTTTGGTCCAGTATGCAGAAAAGTTCAAGCTCAGATTTCACCCAATGTGCAAGGACATTAAACTCATCAACTTATGGTTTGCAGATGACTTGATAGTAATATGCAGACCAGATGAGAAATCTATAAAGTGCGTCATGGAGGTTCTAGCTCATTTTAAAAAGACGACTGGACTTTCTATCAACCATGGTAAATCACAGATTGTAATGGCAGGGGTCAACCATAAAGAGAAGAAAAAGCTTATTGATATGACAAAGATCACAAAGGGCAAACTCCCCTTCACACACCTAGGCTGTCCAATCTCAGCAAATAAATTGTCTAATGTTGACTGTGATGTGTTCATAGAGAAATTAACGTCAAGGATCACAAGTTGGGCCACTAAACACTTATCTTATGTCGGGCGAGCCAGATTGATTAACTCAGTTTTGTTTGGAATCATTAACTTTTGGTATAGAATTTTCATCATTCCTGGCAGGGTAATGAAGAAGGTGCAAGCCTTATGTAGGAACTACCTCTGGGGGGTTGCTGATCACTACAAACGAGTTCCACTAGTCAACTGGGAAGACACTTGCAAGCCAAAGGGCAATGGAGGACTGAGATTTAGGAATCTTAATGCCTGGAACAAAGCTTTAGTGATGAAGCTAAATTGGGATATTGCTAACAAGAAAGATAACCTATGGGTTAGGTGGATTCATAGTAGATATATTAAGGGCATGGAGTTCTGGAATTACAACCCAAAACAGGATACTTGCTATTATTGGAAGAGGATGATAAAAGTGAGGTCAGAATTTGAGGGAATGATCAACATAGGAGAATACACACCAGAGGAAGGGTATCTCTGGCTCCTAGGTCAACCCCCTAAAATAGAGTGGGTTAACTTGGTGTGGAATAGACTAACCATTCCCAAACATCAATTCAACATGTGGTTAATACTGAAGAATAGGCTACAGACAAGACAGAGACTGGGCAAATTCCTCAACATTGATACGAAATGCCTATTCTGTGATTTTGGGGAAGAGGATATCAACCATCTTTTCTGGGACTGCCCATTTGCCAAGGAGCTGATCAGTAAGGTACTGGAACCAATGGGATGCATACTCCAAGCTGCCAGCTTCCATGAATACTATATCAAGTTAAGCAAGCATGGCACAAGAAGGGAGAGAAGAATCTGGATTGCAACCTGGGCGGCCACCTGCTACACAATCTGGAAGGCCAGAAACACTAAGTGGCACCAAAAGGAGGAAATGAGCGTGGAAGAGTGTGTAGCCTACATTAAGTTTAATATTAATTGTTTCAT